CACACACACACACACACATTCACACAGCATTTCTTTCTGCATGTTTTTTTTTCACACACCATTCACACACTGCCGGCACGGGCAAGGACAATTATGGAGTTCAGTATCTTGCCTAAGGACACTTCAGAATGCAGACTGAAGGTGCTGAGGTGCAAACCTGAAAACCTTGTGGTCAGTGGACGACCCTCTGTAAGTCACTCCCCAAGGAATGTGATGATACCTCCTGAGGCTGTGGATCAGGAGGTATCATCACTTTATGGGACTTAAATTACAAAGTTAAATGAGACCTTTCCGTTCCTGAACTCCACAGATCATTATGGTATTTGTGTTATTAACAACCACCTCTGACACTGTTTTGTTGAGCAGATATGTGAGTTGAAATAAATCACTTCTCTTTGTTGTTGAGAGGCACTGTTTAAACGAATGTCGTCCTTTTCTAGGAACACTCTTGTTGGAAATGTAAAGGGGGGGTTAGAGAAAGGCCTCTGTAGGCATGTTCGGTTTCTAAGCTTCTGTGACTGTATATGGTATCAGCCATTGTGAAAACCAAACTGCCTGTGTCGCACCATGATGCACTGCTCACTGTTGGTGGGCTCCTCTTCCACCCTGAACATCCAGATGCCAAAATAAAGGGACGAGACTGAAGTGGTATTTCTAATAAGAGAGTTACATTATCTCATGCAGTTGAGAATAGATTATAATGCTGCGCTACACTTAGTTTAACTGGTGGGGACATAAACACACTGCAGGTGTGTCACATCAGTGTAAGGGGAGGTAAAACACTAAGTGGTGCATGATATAAATGAAATAAAGTGTGATGTCAAGTTGACTCTGTGAGCTCATGTCACATGGACTCCCAGCACAACTTCTAATGTTGACATGAGAAGGTGGTTTTCTCCCCCTCCTTACTATTTCGATTGTTTACACACTCTCTGTGTAATTTAAAAGGAGAGTGTGTTGAAATATGAGCTCAGCTGAAAATTCACTTCATGGATGTCTATGGGTTTAGCAACATCTGGTTTAATGATTAGTATTAAATAAAGTTCTTCAACAACATTTTTCATACAAAAATATAATTTAATTTGTGGTTCTATAATTCTATAACACATATTATAACCACATTATATTCAAAAACATACATCTGTAAAATGGCAATGTTAACTTTCTGTTTCTGCATCATTTGAGCTTCTAACTAACTTACGATGGATCATTTGCAACTGATTCCATCATAATGACTGTGAGTAAAAGTAAAGAAAGGGCAACTTTGTGTTGTACAGTGAATATTGAAATATATATGAAAAGGGTTGTCTTGTTTATTAATTTTTTAGAAGTTTATTAGTGGATTTTACAACCTTTTGTTCAACAGAACAAAAAATATGAATGCAGAGATATAGGTCTATGTTGATTACAGTAGGTCCTTAGACCACTTGATAAATATTAGACTACAATGAGTGTTCTTTTATTTTATTTAGTTATTGCTCCAATGTTGAGACAATTAGTTTTAATGTTTGATTTATTCAGAATGATTTTCTCTGTCAGACTGTTTGTCGGCTCTGCACTTTGACATGAGAGTGTTTGGCACCTGTTGGGACGGCTGTCAGACTTTCTTTTAGACTTGATGGTTGATGGCAGCTGATTATTGTGCAAATGTTCCAGGAGATGTTTTTATAAAGCTGGGTGTTAGCACATGGTGACTGGAAATGTTGTGAAGGCTGAAGGTGAATGAAGCTGCATATTGTTTGCAAGTCTATGCACTCTTCAAACATTTTATCTTTGAGCACTTGAGATTATGCATTTTAGTCTTTCGGGCAGAGGGAGTCATGCAGTTGGCATCTTGGCACATAATCACATGGCTTTACTATATTACATAAGTGGATTAACTTTGGGAAATGACCACTAAAAGAGCAGGCCAGAACACAGATGTATTATTGTTTTATTAGAGGCTTTAGGTAGTAGATTGATTGCTGTGGATATACACTGGATTGTAGATTATATACTTTGGAAGCGTCATGCTAGAATTAGAATTCAGCATCTGTAAGGAAATATAAAGGCTCAGTGGTCTGAGGCAGTGGACTGTCAGTGGACCAAGGAGTCAACGATTATTGTGATGAATGAGGGCTGATGTTTTTTTACCACAGCGGATCTGAAAGCCCCTCATTTATATTCAGGAAATACGTTTACAAACAGCCTTATGGAATTCAGATCACCCTCAACAAAATGGTCCCACAAGACTAATTCCAAATCACCGGAGAACTGCATCCATGATTGAAGTTTGAAAAGCTGCAACTGAGAAATAGATGCCGACCAGCTCCTCCAATTCTTCATAACATTATTAGTTTTAGTAAAAGTAAAATGACAAATTCATAAATTGTTTTACTTTCAGTATAAGGAATGAGAGTAGTGTGAGCGGTTTCTCTGTTTTGAGGCTAAGCAGGGGAATACAGCTAGGCTAGGCTACGATAAAATAAGATAAGCTATTATAAACTAAGATGAGCTAAACTGAAATAAACTTAGATAGGATTAACTAAGATAAGCTATGATGAGCTAAGATAAGCTAATATAAACCAAACTGAGCTAAACTGAAATAAAATAACACAAGCTTACAAGTTGCCTGCTGTAGCATCATATTTATCAGACAAACATTAGAGGTTTATCTAACTTAGTAAGAAAGTGATTGAGCCCTGAGGCAGTCGACCATGACGCAGCAGCCAGAGACGAACCATTCGGTCTTTAACATCACTTTACTAATGCAAAACAAAACTCATGAACGTTAAACTTAAAGTGCCAGCATTTTCAGCGACAGCTTTAGAGCTCAGGCTTGTCTCTGTGTGTCCTCGTCTCTCCACGTGTCCGTCTCTTTTGTACCAGAGCATCAATCAGCTAACAGCTCTGACCTGCGCTGAATGATCCGGTCCAGGTGAAGGTGCTCTCCCTCCACAAGCCCATTTTATCAAAATGATGGAAACATTGTTTTGAAAAACATAGAGCAAAGATTTTCAAAATCTTGTGCAACTATTTTGGGGACTTGAGGTCACAAGATATCATGATTATGAACTATGAACAAGAACAAATCACATTTCCAAACCAAGATGCATCGAATCAGTTTTTTCTGTCACAGCTTTGTACTGATTCCTCTGTTAATGTAATTTCTACCAGTGAACCAGATGATGTGTAGACTTGAGTGTTTTAAGATGTACCTTCAATGGTTAGATTCTGACAAAAACTCAAATAAAATCCATTCCGCACACAAATATAGAAAATGTTTGTTAGAATTAGTGTAAATAGGAAACAGCATTGCTCAAACTGAGGTCAGGGCATCAACATGCTGCAGGTCAGCTTGACAGAAAACAACGTCAGAAAGTCATTAACTCCTTGAAAATAAATCTCAACCCTCTGTATGAAGATAACAACTAATATAAAATGATACATGGTAATGTTGTGAGAAGTACTGATTAATGTCAGGATGCTCGAATGCTTCAGTTTATTAAAGATTGATGAAATTCATATGAAATAACTGGCCTGAGGGAGAACAGGAGGACATCAGGGTTTCAAATAAAAAGGAATAAAGACTAAACCAGATCTACAGCACATCAGATCCAGATAAGATAAACTAAGAGAAATAATTTGAACGAGTCTGAAATCAGAGATCAGGGAGGAGAGAGGGAGACAGAGAAGGAGTCAGGATGAGGAGGAGGAGGAGGAGGAGGAGGTGGGAGGCTGTGAGAGATCGAGAGGGGAGCACAGAGGCAGGCTTTGCCTTTTCTGGTAGTTAAACGCTACTGAAAGAACAAGCAGGAATTCTCTGTGCTGCAGAGCGGCTGGGATATAAACCAGACTGTAGAAGTAGATGTATGAAGGAGCAGAAACACTGCTGTCTATGGACTAAATTTCAGCCACTGTTCAGGTATTGTAAACCAACAGACTCTGTTTGAGTTTTTGTTACACTATTAAGCTGTCTCTAATTTGATTACTGCTTCTTCTGGAGTTTAGCATATTTACTCTGTCACACTGGGATTTTGTTACTTATTGAATATCCCAACAGTGTGTACTGAGACTGGATGGATTTATGATTGATCAGTAATTGTTCTTTAAAGAACTTCTTGTCTTTCAGTGAGAAAGTGAGGAGAATCTTTTGGGCATCATGGACGATGACTTTGACCGCCGCATGGAGCTGAGGAGGCAGAGGAGAGAGCAGATGCGTCTCGATACTGAAAAGTAAGTGAGCGCTCTCAGAACATGTAAACATGTGCAAAAGAAACATGCATAAAGATAAATATACCGTCACTGACTTGACACTTTGCCACACAGACAAACAGTTTGGAGAACGTGAGTGAAAGTCAGACAAAAAAAGCTGAATGCAGATGTGAAAATCATGCAAACATTATAAAAGGACAGGCAACATCCCACACTGCATGATCTTCAATCCAAGCCTCATAGTTTTAGCAGGGTTTGACTCATATATGTTCAGTAGACCACACTGATCATCAGGAACTAGCATTGCCACACATTTATAAACCATATCTGCTGTTGCTCCCAGTTATTAGACAGCAGGAGGAAGTCATCAGTGTTGTGTGGAGCTGTTTATTCCAGAGGAGCCACTTCTAGAGGCGTTAACAATAGTTTTCCTTGCAGCTTTAAACTATGCACAGTGTGTGTGAGTGATTTTGTGAGTGCCTGTGTGACTCCACATGGAGCAGCGGATCGGAGCAGACCAGATTTGGATGGAGCACAGATGATGACAGGTTAATGATCTTGAGTGATGTTTTCATTGGTTACAGAGTCACTCAACTGTGCTGCTGTTTGGTATTGTCCCTCGCTCTCTGTCATCTCCTCTACCTCACTCTCTGTCCTCAGATAAATATTATAAAGTCGACTCTAGGAGTGAAATGTGCACTTGTGTGAGTAAAGTTGCATTTTATTTTAATCCTTGGATAATCTACATATAAATTGTGAGGAGATGGGAAGAAATTCATAGAAACTCATTGTCTGAGTTGTGAATTCATTTTTATAAATAAGTACAATCAGTTTAAGAGCCACTGAAAAACAATATGAAGCAAACAAACCATACTCTGCTGTGAAACCCCTGAAATTGTGGATAAAGTCTTGGCTTTCTTAACATGTCTACTGTTTGGTTGAGTTGCCACTCAAGCATTGGACTTCTTGTCGCTTGCTGGTGCCAATACCTGTTTAAAACAACGGTTCATCACTGAAGATCAATGAATCCTGGGATATTTTGGGCTGGGAAGGAACCACCCAATGGAGCATTTGAAGGAGCCTTTGGATGCAGCTCCTGAAAGCTACAGCTACAGTTTAGTTAAGTCAGAAATTATTGATAGACAGCCTATAAATGTTTGGTATTTAGTTTTTTTAATGGGATTTGTTCAAAATCTAAAATACCATCATAAAGAAAGAGGTGGCAGGAGCACAACTGGTGTCCCTCAAACCACTGGTGCTCATGGAACGGAATATATGTCAAAAAAATGGTTTGATGTTTGATGTTTTATTTGAAAAATGTAAAAAGACTTTTACATACTGTAACAACTGTGAGTGTTCATTTGCTTTTCTACCTTTCATTCTGTTCTCCTGTTGCCCTCATCATATTTCCCCCTATTTATCATAGTTTCACATCCCTCATCTGGAAATGCAACAGTAAAACTCTTACAGCAGCCCCACAGCGGTTCTCCAGCTTGAGGTGGAGTAATATCTAATTGAATGACTTCCTCAGTGATTACTTGAGGCGACCCACTCTATTCGGCGGAACCTTTGCCCGGGGATTTGTTAGATTTCCGCCTAATTTGGGTTTTTGTTTCTGTTCTGAAGACAGAGAGGATTCTTGTGGTTCTCTTCCAACTCTTCCTCTCCCAACATCTGTAAATCATTGTGCAGCGGATTCAAGATGAGCAGAGGGAAGTAATACCCATGTACTACCAATGGGCCATTTCAAGCTCTCTCTCTGCCTCATAAAGCCTGGTAATGCTTGGGAAGACACCCAGGCTGGCACGCTCGAGAGTCTCACTGTGAATGTTCTCACAGTAGAATGAAGGTCAATGGATGGATGTGAGAGGATGGAGGGGAAAACAGGAGGGCAACATTTTTGGCAATTGCATCTCATCTATAATCTGCACATAATAGCCTATATTGTTAGTTTTCTAGAAAGATTTTTTTATTCCGTCATCTTTCCCCTTTTTCTAGCCTTTCTCTTGTGCTGCGATTAAATGTTCTTTGCAATGCTCAGTTCCAAGGGGGCAATTCTTCTGTTTCTTCAATGTGACAATTGTATCTCAGACACACAGAGAGTGTGTGTTTCTTATTATTTCGTAGCCTGTTCTTATTCCGTTGTGGCTTCCAGTCTTGATTATGTCTTTTGATGTGAGCTGAAATCGTCTGGCTTGTATCAGCGGTTTACCACCTGGGGGTCGAGATACCTCAAAGGGAACAGAGATAATTTTTAAGGGTCGCTGGATACTTCTGTTACACAACATAATGATATGTCTCAATATTTCCCCCTTCCCTCTGGGGACATTTTATATTAGCTGTTCTTCTCTAAAATAGACCAGAATTATTTCTACCAATTTTGCACATTGAGCATCATTGCAGGTCTACAGAGAATTATCTCTCTTTCCTTTCATTTCCACTCTGTTCTCATGTTGGCCAATATGCCCTCATCATCTTTTTCTCCATTTGTTTTGTTTCACATCCCTTGGGTTGCTCCTCTGGAAATATAACAATAACATTTAAGTAAAAAAAATTTGTAGATCCTGAGGGAGCTGTGTTAACATGAAATCTGATTAATTGTCTCACGTAACATCTGGCAGCATCAAATAAAGCTTGTAAAAAAGGCCAAAGACTGCATTATCCATTGCTAACATAACGATTCTCTGACTGTATGGTGGTCAAGTTGCATTATAAGTATTGTGCATAACAGGTTTTGACAGGGAAGAAAAATGTGAAGAAGAAAGAAGACAATATTTACACTGTCCATTATGAGTCTCACAATGGGATAGGTGTGAAATGCACAACCAGTAGAGAACTGTTTTAAGGCCTGACATAGTCTGAAGTGATGGGCTTTAGAGGCGAATGTTATTTTATTTCAAGGGACCATAAAAAAGTTTGGAAACTGGTTTATACACATGGATGAGAATAGTGGCATGGGACTCTTTCCATGCAGGTCAACACAGGGTCAAGTGCTCTGAGAACAAAGTAAATTCCCACTGTCTTCATGTTCACTCTGGTTTACAAATGTTGTTGATGACTTGATTTCAGTAACTTACAGGTTAATGACTGTACATGCTTTTCCCCAGTGTGTGTCTCATTATGGAGTAAAAATACAGGAATGTCTTTCATCCTTTGACCAACACATTGATGTGTTTCTGCATGTGTGATGGTTCAGGGGGGGTTGCACCAACGATGATGATGAGGAGGAAGCGCGGGAGCAAAGGAGACGTGCGAGAGAGGAGAGGAAGAAGATGAGGGACTCTGAGGAGTCTGGTACTACTGATGCTGTCAACAGTAACAGGTACAGTGAGGATGAGGGGACAAGAACTACGAAGGGTACTGTTGTGGGACAAAACAGAGGAACTTGGGTATGATAGTCACGATACAGAAAAATAGAAACCTCTAAGTTTAGCCTCTAAATCAAAGCAGAGAAGAGGACTTGAGCCTTTTTTAGTTTCGAGGTGACTGGTTTCACCTTGTTGGATATCGTCCACACCAAACAATTCATAGAGCAACATTTTACCTGGAAAACTGTCGACAGGGTCATTTTGTAAAACTCCCACAGTGAGAGCAGTTTAGTGAGTGAGTGCACAGAATCACTCAAACTGAAGCACAGGAGAGTAGACAAACAAATATGAGCAGGAGCAGATTTCCATGTAAGGAGGGGCAGTTTGAGAGAGCGCGCTGAGAGGGATGGAAATCTTTACGAAATCTGTGCACAATTTGAAGATGTAATGCTCCAACAGTACTGTAACTTTATAAAGTGAGTCAAGTACCAACATAAAACTGAGCTGATACTTGAGTTTACATGCATTGAAAGAAAAATTGGAGTAAGAATTTGGTATTTTAGAGAAAACAGCAGATAAATTTAACTCCAAATACTTTTGCAAGTACTTGGGACCAACATGGTACAGTACTGGGTAACAAAAGTTTGATAAAAAATGGTAGGCCACGAATAAACCTGTCCATACTGTGATTAATCAGGAAAACTTAAAGACCAGCAAACATTATATTACATATTATTGTTTAATATCAAATATTAGCTATGTTTGAACCACCAACAGTTGGCCCAATATGTTTTATTATCTGATCACTTTATTCTCAGATAAATAATAGACACCTTTTTTTGCACTTCACGAAGATATGTTTGTTTTTTGTGTTGTTTTTTTTATCTGAAGTAGACATGATAATCAATACCTGTAGTGTAACTGAACTCTGCTCCTTCATATCGAGTTTTCTCCTTTCAACAATGTTTGTTTATGAGTGAAACAACCTAGTGCATTTTATATTACACAGTTATGATACACAGACTAATATCAAGTGTTTTTTTTAAACTACACTGTAAAAGGTTGTTAACACCAATATCCTCAAACTTCTTTTTTTGTTGGCACCGAACTTGACCTGCATTTAGGTATTGATAATCACTTCTAGTATCAATATTTAGAACTGCTTCCAGTGACTGTGCCCTTCTTTGAATGATTTTCACAGCAGAACGATTCTTGACTTACAGGAAATATGACAGTAATGGGGACTTTAGAGATTCAGCTTTAACTGGACTTGAATTTCAGACTCTGCTTCTTTATGAACGTATCAATCTCACGTTTCTACAGTGTTGAAGAGACCGAATCCTTCTCCACCACCACTGACACCACCAGTGCTGGAGGTGCAGATGATGACCAGGCTTTGCTGGAGCGCCTGGCCAAGAGGGAGGAGCGCAGGCAGAAGAGAATGAAGGAGGCGATGGAGAGACAGAAGGAGTTAGACCCCAACATCGACACCGCTGAAGGCACAGATGGCACATTGGAAGAGGCGTCCTCCATAAGCAACAGCAGCAGTCAGCAGCGTACAGAGGAGGAGGAAGAGAAGGAGGAGGAGCGGGAGCAGGTGGCAGAGGCGGATATGAACTCCTGGAAGAAAGAGGAAGAAGATGAGAAGGAAGAAGAGAAGGTAAAGATGAGTTTCCAGCTTTTTTTCTTGTGAGAATATGTATTTAAAACAAAATATTCTGGAGGGTTTATTTCTCTTGGCAGGAATCTGTTGAAGACTCAGGATCATCAGCCACAAGAAATAAGGTACGATCTCTTCTTTTAGCTTCTTCCGATAACTTGATTTCTATTGATCTACATCAAGAAAATAAATAAATCTAATTTATCTCATAGGAGGAGATTGAAGAGGTTGATCAAGGAAAAGAAGAGGAAGCCGTTCCCGATGTTGACAATGAGCAAGAAGAAAGAAAGAGGAAAGAAGAGGAGGAAAGACAGCAAAAAGAAATGGAAGAAAAGCTAAGGATAGAAGAGAAGGAGAGGCAACAAAGGGAAATGGAGGAAAAGCTGAAGAGAGAGGAAGAAGAGAGGCAGCAAAAGGAGGAAGAGGAGATGAAGAAGAGGAAAGAGGAGGAACAACAACAGAAACAAATGAAGGAGAGGCTGAGAGAGGAGGAAGAAGAAAAACTGAAAAAAGAGATGGAGGGGAAAAAAGAGGAGGAAACACAGAAAAGGGAGAGGGAGGAGAGACAGAAGAAAGAGGAGGAGGAGAAGCGGCAGAAGGAAACAGAAGAGCGGCTGAAAAAGGAGGAGGAGGAAAAACACAAAAAGGAGATGGAGGCACAGAAGAAGAAGGAAGAGGAAGAGATGCGGAGAAAAGAGATGGAGGAGAAGAAGAAAAAGGAAGAGGAGGAAAAGAAGAAGAAGAAGGAGCTGGAGGAAAAGAAAAAGAAGGAGGAGGAGGAAAAGCGGAAAAGGGAGGCAGAGGATAAAAAGAAAAAAGAGGAGGAGGATAAACGTAAAAAGAGAGAGATGGAGGAAAAAAAGAAGAAAGAGGAGGTATTGAACTGAAACTTTTGTTTTATGTCCCCATTTTTGAATTCACAGAACAGATCAAATCTAAAGCAAATCCTGAGCCGTTGTTTCATTCATTTCATATTGTATTAATCTTGTTCTTTTTTCTTCTGGGTTCAGGAGGAAAAGCTAAAAAGATTTGGTTTTAAGGAAAAGGTAAAGAAAAATTGTTTCATTTAAAACACCTAAAAACGTTGTCAGCTGAAGATTTACAGTTCAGTGGGGTTTTTATGTATAAATTGTTTCTTTCTTTTTGAAAGAATGAACCAGCAAAACAGAACGGAGCCTTCATTGAGAACAAGCTCAAGAAAACGTCAAGGTAAATCTTCCCAGACACTAATGTGACACAATGTTTTTAACTTACACTTTCATGTATGATTGTCTTTGTCATTTCTGTTATTGCTCATTTATTTCACACAACTTTATAATAAGAGTTGTACAAATGGATTATGAGAAAATGCACTCAATGTAACCACTACTTTTATTTTTATAATTTACAGTTTAAATCATTTTAAAGTCACCTGTAGCTAAAACATGTGGGTGTGTATATGTGTGTTGGTCATTAAACAACTTCCTGTGCAGGGACAATGCTCCCTCCACGAAGGCAGACGACGTGGAGCGAAAGGAGGCTGAACATAAGCTCCAGGAGCTGAAGCGCCGGCGAAACGACGCAGAGAGCGAAGAGTTTGAGAAGATGAAGCAGAAGCAGCAGGGCGCAGAAGCCGAGCTGGAGGAGCTGAAGAAGAAGAGAGAGGACAGGAGGAAGATCCTGGAGGAGGAGGAGAAGCAGAGGAAACAGGAGCTGGAGGACAAGAAAGCCAAAGAACAGGTCAGAGTGAATTCATTATAACACACAAATATTACACACATGTAAAACTTTCTAAGGAATGGAGATGTAAAACAACACTTTGGTTTAATTTGATTGTTGTGCCGAAGGTGTGACTGTAAATTGTGGCTTTGGTAACAGGAGGAGAGGAAGAGGATGAAGGAGGAGATAGAGAAGAGGAGGGCAGAGGCTGCAGAGAAGAAGAAACAGAAAGAGGAGGACTCCACAAAACCTGCCTTTGCTATCAGTCCCAAAGGTTCCTCCAAGGTGAGTGTTTAACCAGAGGTTCAGACACATACAGATGTTTTATAACAATGAAAGGTTGAACATTTATTTCCATAAACAGGGTTTCGGGATTCCTATTGATAATCACAGTCAACAGTTGGAATTGAAAAATGGGGGGAAATCTTTACTTGATCATCTACCCTAAGTATTTTACATACTCCAGCACGCAAATACCCAGTGGTACAAGTTCAATATGCAGTCATTTTAAACAGCAGAATAACATTTCACTGGCAACATTAGCTTTTGTGTTTCCTGACACTCTTCAATTGACACTTTAGCACCAGACCAACTATTAATAGAGAAATAAACAGAAATATTTTGATATGTAGGTTGTCACTGAAAGACTTAATCCACTGCTATGTCACAATAAGCGGTGGGTGTTTGTGCTACCCACCCTCACATTGAATCAGATTCACAGAAACAGCTAGGAGTCAGGACAGCAAGCAGACAGAAGCTCGATCATAAAGAGCAAGCAGGGAAGAACAGGTGTCTCAGTAGTTAGCCCTGGGTTTAACGATGTGTGATGGGTGCAGAGCCGGGGCTTGGTGGCAGCAGGCGGTTCTTGATTGAACGATTATTGGCAACAGTTGTAATCAGAGGAAGAGGCAGGATCGACCTGCCAGCCACGTCCTGTGTATCAGACACACACTCACAGGCAGGGTGAGAGACGGACAGGACACACAGGGGGAAGGGAAAGCGAGAGATGAAAAAGAGGGAGGAGAACTTCAGATTCCTACAACAAGATGTATCATAAGTTATCAGGAATAAAAAATATATACATATCATGGTATATATCATAATAAATATCCATAAAAATAATGTATAAATGTAAATGAACCTTGGTTCTTTATGTATTTAGAACCTCCACACTGTGAAGAGGATGAGGCAGGGTTCATGAGCGCTGGGTGTGCTGCCCTTCTGCTGGCTTCTGGATGTTTTGACTGAAAGACTGGAATCGGGTACTTTGAGATAAATAGGGACTTTCCTGAGTAGTGCCGAGTTGTTGTGGCAGAGTCCCCAAAAAAGAAATAGACCTGAAAATGACCATAATTAGTTAAACATACTAACATGACCTCATCGAACACGCAGCAGGAAAGACTTGCATCTCATATTAGGTCAAACAACTCCTTTTCAGCACTGTGACCATGTTTATCTCTCTGATCTGTATTTGTTTTCTACAGTTCCACAGCTACGTCCCTTTATCTTTGGTTTGGCTAATTTATTTTTTCAATGTTGATATTAGACTTATATTAATAGATAAGATAAGAATTTTAAAAAAATGCTGTCTGCCATTTGAGCTCTACTCAAATATGGCAGTAGATGATTTACGATGCATTTTCTTGCTGGAGTATTTTTGGAGGAATGTTCAGAATTATGTGTGTATAAGGTCTGATTCATTTTTAACAGTATTCCTCATCCCACACACCATGTTGTGTGTTAGTGTGTGTGCGTGTGTGTGCGTGTGTGTGTGTGTTTGCGTGTTCTTGCTCTGTTACAACCAAACTCAATCACTCAGGCCCCAACCAGTACAATGTTCAGTAGCAGTACAGAGAGACCTTCCCAGAGACAGACTGGTCGGCCTCTCAATGAGATTGTGTTGGAGACAAGAAAAAAAAACAGCTCGGCCGAGTCCTAACTTATGAGAGCATGTCAGCTACGTTGATTTATAACTTAAAACGTGATGTTTTGTTCTGTGCAGATCGGAGAGAAGGCAGAATTCTTGAGCAAATCTGCCCAGAAAAGGTGAGAAATAAAAGTTTTTTTCCCAGTAAATTAATACACCAGGGGTTAGTGAGTCTTATTAAAGTAAACTGTGTTGGTCATCTTTGCAGCACTGCAGCAAGAGTGTCACACACTCCACTTGTCTCCAAGATAGGCAACAGACTGGACCAGTACACTTCTGCACTCCAGGTGAGATGAGACAACATTGTTCACTGTCCTCAGAGCCTGAACTCAAGTAAAGATGCCAATACTACAATGTAAAAATACTCCATTAGACAATAAAGCCTGTATTACAATTAAGTAAAAGTACAAGTATTATCTGCAAAATGTACTTCCATTATCAAAACTAGGAATGACAAGATAAGTCTCAAGGGCAGTGAAAGAAAAGTAAAATAAAAAAGTCAGTTATGTTGGACATTCTTCAATTATTGGATAGATTCACATCTTTTTGCCTTAAACACAATTGAAAATAATATGAAATTGCATAAAACTAATAAACTTGAAATAAATTAACAAAATTAAATGAACTACATGGAATTATTTGAAAAGTCTAGTGGTGAAATGTTTCTTTGGTGTAACTCCTAAAAACTCAATGAACCTCAACTCTACACAGGATTGGTGAGTTAGAAAGGATTGGAACCACTGACTAATTAATAATGCATCTTATTTCAATCTGCAAAGTAACTAATAACCTTGGCTTTCAAACAAATTTGACAGAAAATGGAAACAGAAATAAAATGGAAATAGTCAAGGTAAGAACAAGCACCTTCGGAACCCTCGCTCAGTGTCGAGAAATCATCTTCTGTCTCCACAGGGTAACAAAGAAGCCAAATCCCCCAAGTCTCCTCTGGCAGATATTCCTACAGGAGGCACACGCAGCATCAAGAGCATGTGGGAGAAAGGCAACGTCGGAGGCTCCTCTGAAAGTCCAGCCCCTGCCAACAAGGTGGAGGATTGAAAAATCAAGGACTGACAGGTTCACTGATGGACTATGTTTCTGAGTGTATGAGATCTCTTCTTTCCCTCAGGATGTAGCTGGTATCAGAGGAGGCGTGGCTGGACGTGTCAACAGCTGGATGGCAAAGCCTGCAGAGCCAGAGAAGACGACACCTGCACCTGAAGCAGCAGCAGCATCACCCGCAGCAGCAGCAGCAAAGCCGGCAGTAAGGCCCGATAACCCCTTGTCCTCATCGCACAGAGGCTATTGTAAATTAGACACCAGTGTTACTTGAACACAGTAATCCCCTGATATTTCGTACACGCTAATGTTCTCTTTTGCACGTCAACATGCCAGCCTTTTGTTGGCTGTGGCCTTTATGTCCGAGCTGCAGGAGTGGACAGCGTTGATGTAGGAGTGTAGTGACACCACATGGAGAGTTTGCGTAATAGCATCTATCAAAAAAAGCAATCGTCCAAAAAACACCTTAAAGCTAGATGAATGCAGTTTTTAAATATAAAACATATTCTTTGTATTCTCTGATACAAAGAATATATTGTTCTCATTGTTGCAGACAACAAAACCACAAAGCACAGATTCAGACAGCACAGTATCTACATGCATAGGTTTTCCTATGCCCTTCTATACGTTAATCAAATTGACCTCTGTGAGTATTTTAGATTATATCACAGCCAGGGAACAAACAGCACTTACAAAACGTTTGCTCAATCTTAGTGATTCTGTCTGTGCCAAGAGAACAATATGCTGTATTTTTATCTCACTGCAACTCTATTCTCCAAGTGTCCTTCAGGCAAAGGTAAAAGGTCATGTCCCTTCACATTTGTCAGAGACAGTATTGTCTTGTCTCACAACACAGGCAATATAACCAACATGTCATGGAATTATTAGTTTAGTTTATTCACTAATGGTCTTGTGCCATTAAATAGATATGGTCATTTGTACTTGGCGGACGCTGTGTCCTTGACTCAAAGTAGGACACCAGCTGCTAATCCCAGCAGGTCGTCTGGAGACATCACTCTGTGTCCATAAGCAGAACTGTTGCAGAATGAAGTGTGACATTGTTTTAACGTGGAAATTTACGAGCAAGATATCTTTAGTGTCAAACATCTTGGCCAAAGAAGCAGTTGGTTGTAACCTTGCCTCTACTTTTCTGCTGCAACGCCTCCCCCTGATGGGATGAATCTATACAGCAGTGTGGTGCATGATCATGTCTCTGAATGGTCTGTACTCCTCTCTCTGTGTGTTTACTTGTTTATTTCTTATCTGCCTTTCTTTCCACTTTGCTTATGCACCTGTTTCTTATAGCTTTCCTCACTCAAACTTTCCCTGCTCCTCTCTTCAAACTGATAAAGGTACAGACACACAATGAAAATTTATAGGCATCGTATTTGTATAAGACCAGTTATTTAAAGGAAATATATTTATGTGTATTCAAGTGATGATTTGAGGTGCATGTACTTTTACTCCATTAAAGTTTACAGGGAAATCTATGTTCTTTTTATCCATCAATTTATTTGACAGCTTTAGTTACTAGTTACTCTCCTGTTTTTGACCTCACATTACAAATATATGACAAATAGGATAAATTAAAGATTACACTGATGGTTTCCAACCTCTTTGTCCAAAAAGATAAGATGAAATAGGTTGAGATAAGTTGAGATAAGATAAGATAAGTTGAGATGAGATAAGATAACATAATTTGAGATGAGGTATAATAAACTGAGGTGAGATAAATTGAGATGGAATAAGATAAATTGAGATAAGTTGAGATGAGGTCAATTTAGATGAGATGAAGTCAGATAAAATAAGATTAATTGAGATGAGATAAGATTAGTTGAGATGAGACGAGATAGGATAAAATGAGATTGTCCCTGAGGAAATATGTCTGACACAAACAATATTTTCTTAAGAAGACTAGTTTTACTTTTGATACCTCGAGTATTACTTGTAATGGAGTATTTTTACATAGTTGTACTTGTACTTCTCCTCTGGTAAAGAATCCAGTTGCTTCTTCCTCCCCTGTGTGACACTAAATGGCGCATGGCTGTTGTTTGTGACAGGAAGTGAAACCAGGCGACGTTGGTAACAAGCGCGGCATGTGGGAAACCAAGAAAAGCTCTGCACCTGCCAAGGTAACACACACACGCCTCCTGTGTTAAAACACCTTGATGTTAGTGTTTCAATGGATTTTATAGTGACATGATCCTGTTTGTTTGTTTCATTCAGTCAAAATAATCAATGGTGAAAGAGGTAAAACTCAGAGCATGTTCCCACAGGCATGGTGTGACTGATCTGTGATGTTTACACGCACGTGATTGGTTGTGGTTTTTCTCACTTCAGGCAATTCAAAAAGTGTTTCAATTAAAAACTGTGTGATGTTTCTGTGAGGGACTGAACTCACTTTGTAACTCTACATACTACGTCACCCGAGGTTCCACCTTTTCTTCTTAAATTCAAACGTAACTATGGTTTGTAAAGAGAAGCCCAGACTCATGTGGATGTGATACACATTCCTACAAATTCAAGATACAACAACTTTGTCGTCATATCACCATACATCAGCCGGGCAGGGCAGGTTTCACACTACTCCACTGATTAACAGGCTGCAATTGATATACCAACAAAGGTGAAAAATAAAGAAGACTACATGCAAGAAAATATGAAAATAAACAATGCTTGAATCAGAATCATTAAAAAAAGAGTTGCAAATGTTTGTGAGGAAGTAAATCTCATTTCCTTCATGCCACAGGTCAGTGTGTTTATCTGATAATAATCTGAATCTGACCATTCGTAATTTTGGTAATTCTTGGCTATGTGAGATTAACTGTTTATCTATAAAATAAAACACCAATAGCATCAGTGTTCTGTTATATTATTGTGATTTTTAGAGCCGTAGTGTTGCAATTTCCCTCTAAAAAACATTTCTCTTTCAAACTTTACTTAAAACATTATATTCCCTCTTTCCCACCAAATACTTCTCATACAAATGAACTCACACATCTGTAAACATTAATTTTCTCCTGTTAAAGGTTAAATTTGGGATTTCAAGTCTCTGGTTGAGCTGCCTGAACTGAAATGTGAATATTGATTTTGATGTGATGAGAGTGGATGTCTGTATATCTCACTCACACAAGTACTGCAGTACACACTTTATTATTCAGATACTCTGTACCCTGAGTCCTGGGGACATCAAAGGTTTTTCCTTGGCTTTGATTGTGCTGTTTATTTGGAACATGGATTATTTTTGAACATGAATGTGATTGATATGTTGTGACTGGACAGTTTGGCTGCACTGTGCACGAGCTCTTCTGAGCCAAGAAACAAGCTGCATTGCAGTGAGGAGGAGGATATTGTTGAGTGCATGTGGTTGTGTCTGATGTGAGTTTCTTTCTGACAGGAGTGTTTTAAAAAAACCTGACATAGGATATATTGTATATTGTCACAACATTAACTGTCCCATATCTATTTGCTTTTATCACCAAGATTTTCACATGGTTTCATTTAAATGGATCCTTATTCACTCTCAGGAAGCAGAAGTTATTCTTAAACACACTTAAGATCAACATGTATCCCAGAATATTTTTGAGAAATTGTTTCAACACTATCAACTGTTTGATTGAATGACATTGAACATGTGATTTACAAAGTTTGACAGAAGTTTTCTTCTTATTCTCATTTCATCTCTCTCTTCCTCCCTTCCTGTTCACAGGTGGCAGTTGTAGGAAAGGGCAAGTTTGTCACAAATGGTAAGTTTGTAATTTGATTGTAAATTATTACATTTACTGATGCAAGGTAGTTGAGTACAGTCAGTTTCCATTTTTACTTCATGCTTGTACTGTATAATGTGTAAAGATTTAAAAACAAGACTGTGGTGAAGGGTTTTTCCAAAATGAATGAATGAATGAAACCTTTAAAATTAACAACATTGATCAGCTACATCTAAATGATAAAAGAATCAGTGAGAATAATTCAAAAATATAGTATACCACTGAAAGGGTCCAAAAAAGTATTAATATCAGGAATAAGAATTCTATGTTTGACGTAGGTATCTTCTTGAGTTACAATAATTGTATGGCTCGTTCCCTTGTTCCTCGTGTTTCTCTGCAGAGCAGGTATAATCACACACAAATAAAATGTAAGCATGAACTAAAAGAGAATGAATACGACAAAATGATTCAACAAGCAAAAACTATTTCATTATTCATTTATCGGCATCTGACCATTGTTTCAAGACAGTTACTTGTGTGATGTCTTTAGAGTAGGTCTCTTTTTGAAGCCATGACCTAACTTAACTTCAATGCCACTCTGAGTGTACATACCTCTGCCAAGGCACAACAGTCCCCCTATGAAACCACATTTGAATTCTATAGATCCAGATCTTTATTTGGATCTGCACCAAATGTCACACACTCATAAATATCAGCCCCCCAAACATGTCTGATTTCATTATTCTCTGAGAAATCAATGAAATGTTGAAAAATGCTCAATGTTATAAAAAATGAAAAACAAATTCTGCACGCAAATGTAACGAGTTCCTGCCTGATCCATGTCCCATCATTCCACCACGTTTAGTGGGAATCCGTCCTGTAGCTTTTGTATAATCTTGCTTACAAACAAACAAACAAATGGACAGGGGTGAAAACATAATTTCCTGGAAGGAATTAAAGAACACGAATATTGTCTCCACTACATGTTACATACTACATGTTAAACCAGGATTTGTTCAGATCAGTCCTCTGGGAAGTTTATTTGAGTCACCTCTGTACTTCAAACCATTTTCAGGGGGGGTGTGTGCATGCCATGACTGATTTATAGCCCCTGTGGACTCATAACTACTACAACCCACCAACCTTCCCTCATGTGCCAGAGTAGCTGCTCACTGTGAATCAGATCTGCTGCAGGAGATTTTTGGGCAGTAGCTTGGCTCTGTGGCACTGTGGTCTATATTTAAAAAGCCCCTCACCCTGACCTTGTTCCCCAGTATAAAGAACGTTCCAGACTCCTGGGTTGGCTGTCGTGTCTTTGCGTTGCACTGTTCACCCGGTGCCACCTGGGCTGCCCACTGTCGACGAGCTGTCAAGCATGCCGAAGTGCAGCTGCTTGATTTTCACATTACAGCCGACTGCTAGGGAGGATTACAAACTATTTTAGAAACAAATCGCAATAATCACGAGGCTTATTCAGACATTGTTAATGATAATGACCCTCCACATACTCCTACAGCCCGGGAGAGAACTTCACATTCATATTAATCATGTAAATGTGTGTTATTCTCCTTCTCCGTGATCAAATATCACATTTCCTCAGACACCTAGTCCGCTTGAACCAGAATGTGGACAATAGAAGTGGAAAAGCGTTTGTCAAGTGTCAGCTTCAACCCTAAATAACTGTAGTCCCCTCTTCTTCTTCAGAAATAGACTGAGCAATGAAGTAAAGGGCAAATGACAAAGTTACAGCTTTCAATCACACAGAAAAGTGTCCTGGCTTTGACTGCAGGGTATGTGTCAACAACAGGGGGGACTGTCTGTGACACACAAACACATGCACACACACATTACATACACACAGAGAAGCAGGGGTGTGAAAGCTCTGAGATGAATCTCATTTAACACCTTAGAAATGTGTGAAATCATTCATTTTCAAAGGCAACATGGAGGAATGCATTGAATACTTAATGTCTCTTCTTCTTCTTTCTATTAGCAGGTGTAAGACCGTAACCAGTGACCCCCCCTCCCCATATCAATGAAACCTGACCAAACACAAGGCTACTCTGCTCCTGTATGTGCTTCCATTCCCCTTCAACACGTCTGTATTTTGAGTTCACATCCGAATGAGGGAAAGACGAGGGACCGGGATGAGTGACGTCAAAGAATTCCAGCGTAGAGGTTTTCCAGCTTTAATTTTCAGGGTGTATGAGTCAGCTCATATAAAACTAAAAATATATGAATTTGTATTGAGTAGATTGGTTTTGATATTTTTTAATGAAGAAATTCAAAGATGTCATATTAAACCACAGCTTCAATCATTGATAGCTTATTGAATTGATTTTCTTGTACTTGTCCTCATTTTTGCCCAATTTCAATTCTTTGAATTCCAGCTTTATCGAAGTTCAGATCGCAGTCAGGACACTGAAATGTTATCTTGCTGTTCGATCCACACTGACCCACCCAATTAGAAGCATTTTTTTTATTGTCCTACACACTCACTGCTTTTTTGGGATGATAGTCACAGTTTTAACTCCATAGAAAGCCTGTACATATTTAATTTGTTTCAGTAGTCAGCCACTTTCTAATGAGGGACTCTTACATGAAGAAGAGTAATGCATTTTGTTGTGGCTACTACATAAATTACTGTTGCTTTATCCAGCTGCTATAAGTCATTAATAAAAACAACTGTGCTGTTTAATACTAGTGACACAGTTCTGGTGGCACCTTCTTATCAGGAATCTGTTTTTAAGGATTTATCTGTTGTATCTAAAGACTGAATAAATAATGTACGAGCGCATTATAGATCAGTTATAAGATGACTGGACATTCAGTCCCTGGTGTTTGTTATAGAGATTCTTCTCAGAATGATCCGTAACAACACTCATGATCCTCTAACTTCCATCTGGTGTCATTATAAAGGTTAATAAAGTTAATTGTCCAAAACTTTGGTTATAAGCAAATACCTGCAAAAAGTCAAATTCCCATCATCCTCAGCTGTATCATTATTTATGTTAAAGACCTAAAATAAGATGATGAGATGCTGGGTTAATGTAAATCCCTCTATTTTTGACTCAGAAGTCT